AGGGGGGGGGGGGGGGGGGGGGGGGGGAAGAGGTGGAGAAGCAGACCACATGCTCAAACATCAGTTATGGAAGACATAGAACAAGAGTTGTCTTTTTTGTCTGGCAGAAGCAATGTGAAGAGTCACACAACAGAGGCAATATGAAGAGCAGTGTGAACAAATGGCATCTGAAGACCTCTTTAAACTGCTAAGAAAATACAAACATTCTATTTCCTTTAGAAACTCTTGAAATTTTGGGGGGTCTAGTTTGGGAGTCTGTCATTCATTGGAAGCTCCTTTGAGCCTTTCTAAATACAGCCAGATATAAATCATCATTACCTTCGTCATACAACCTCCCCAGTCCAAAATATCAATATTTACAGCGGCATTTCTGCAGCAGTTTAAGAGGAATAAAAACTCTTAAACCTTAAAGAATCAATGCATCAAACTGTGTTCAAATTTTTACTATTCTCAGACTGAAAGAGATTAAAAAAACCCACCCAGCATAATATAGCTTTGAATTCCACAAATGTGTTGACAGAAATCAATTAGTCATGAAATGCTGTTGGAACATTAACTTTTGCATTCTCTGGGTATGTTCATTAATGCGCTGTAATCAGTGCAACTGTGCATTAGCACAGATGAATGCGTTTTAGGTGACGCTTAATGTCCATTGGACTAATCTGCTGCTCATTAGCGCAGATAAATGTTTTTTGCCAGACATGCTAATGTGCAGTAGGATTAGTCCAATGGGCATTAAGTGCCTTGTATACATGCATTGTCTTTATGTTACAGCCAGGCTGCCATAATGTAGCTGATCATGTTCATTTTAAGTCACCTCCTGATTTAATTTTGAAGTTCACACCTCATTCTGGCCAATGTACTAAGGCAAGGGAGTCATATGATCCTATCTGCTACCTGGCTAGAGATAGTGTTGTTAAGTTGGGACTCCCCTACACAATGTTGCAGTAGTTAATGTAGAGTGTTGTTTCAACTGTACTAGTACAAAAGGCTGCACAGATGGACCAATAGGCCTGTGCGAAGCAGCTAGTGTTCACTTCATGTTCGGCTGATTCAGGGGACAGTGATTCAATTTGGTGATTCGAATCACTGTCCCGAATCGATTCGGCCAAATGCAATACAGATTCCACTGCTGCCAGATCTCTGAATCAC